AAAACACCCCACAAAATCTTTCAAAACGAGGAGAAATCTGTATTCTAAATAAAACTTAAAATAGAAAAGATACAAGGGAGCATTTGGAATAGGGACACGAGGACTGAGGGAACTGCAAACAAATTCTCTATAGCATATGAGATGAAATAGAATCACATGTCGTCTGCAACTGCATTGTTGATTCATAAACCCTCGGAAGCAGCAGAAGCCTTCTTGGTAGGATTGTAAACACTAAATTCGCCAAAGTCCCTCCTACCACTGGAAAAAACAGTGCTCGTTATCAGCCCCTTGGCATAGATGAACAAAATTTCAGCACCTAAACATAATTATATAAATCAAAACTCGAGGCAAGCATAGAAAGAGAACTAGCATGTACCTGTGCGTAATATCCCAGCCGGAAGGTAAGAAACGAGGATGAACAGCTTCAACAAATACTTGTCTCCACCTTTGACAAAACTGACGTATACCATCCTCGCCATATTCCTTTAGCAGATGCTCCACAACTTGCTTACCATGTGGACCATGTCCTAGAAGAGACATTTTTGATCTATGTTTAGGTTGGGAAATTGCATCATCTCTGGCATAGTAGACGTCAACTGATCCATTTTGAGCACTACTCTCACAATCACCATCAGCATTTACAACAGATACAAACTGCATATCAGAGACTCCACTTATATCTGAGTCCATGTTCTGAACAACGTCAGAAGCTTTGTCATCAGACCCCAAATATGAATTTAAAGAGAAGTTGCCTAAATCAGCAGCATCCTTCACTATGATAACGTCTCTATCATCTTTTCCAGTAAATGCTTCTGCTGTACTGGTACATGATTCATGTAGAGTGTCAACTTCTGACGCTTTAACACTGGCACATGCAGACACGGTAACAGTATTTTTCTCCTGCTCTGCATCTGAAAGAACACGCCCTCTAGACTTCCAGAAAGAAAGCCCTTTCTTCTTTTCAAATCGTCTTCTCTCGTGAGGACTCATGCCAACCAGTAAAGCACTCTCTAAATCTTCCTCAGATATTTGCCTTCCTCCATAATATCTCATAACAATCTGCAAAGCAAATAAAATTTATTCACATTCACAAA